GTAAGGGTCACTGTGTCCCAGTTGATGGAAGACCGCCTTTAAATTACAGATCAACGGTCGCCCCTTTTCTTTAGATGTTGACGAGGTCTCCCCATTGTTGGTTCATCGCGATTTTGTTTTGTACTTTTCACAGCAGTCAAAACAAGGACTTTGGAATCGACAAAGATGAGATAAGAGAGGCGGGTTGAACAGAGCTCCGGTTAGGTTTTTATAAAAGAACTTTTGCCTCGGTTAAGCGGTTGAATTTAAAAAAAAAAATGGTGGTTAAACAGGAGGTCAAGGAATACAAAGGTGCCAATCCGACTTCATCTAAAGTGCATTCGATGTATCAAAAAGTTCTCCCAACTTTGAATGACCACCCAGAGGCGAGTGTGGAATAGAGATGTACGTCAAGGATAAAATTGTTCTATGTTTGGTTCATCCTCTGCCCTCCACTTCTGCTGGAAGCAATGACTTAACCATTTGCTCTGAGGCCCTCATATGGAGAGGTTTTAGGCGACAGCAGGATATGTTCACTCGACTTCCTAAACCTTACACGTCCAAAATCCTCCGACGAATCCAGACACCTCTGGATCACACTCATGACCTTGTCACCCCATTTGACCTACCAAAGGGCACGCGGAGCAAAAACATGTGAAAACTCAGTGCAGAGGAGTTATCGAAGCTGCCGTCAATCATATAACATTAGACACAACCGTAAAGCTGCTCCTATTGAAAAGCCCGGAGGGAGAATTGAGAACACAGTGGTAGGGAATAGGAGTTCAAGTGAAACAAGTCTACTTCCAGGTAGGTATTTCCACTGGCAGTGATTGTGACAAGTATGCTCGCGAGAGATGCAAGGTCAGCCAACAACTCCCATCGGGACCACCAGAGAACGCAGTCAGATCTTAGCAGTCATTCATCGGACATTTCAATAACTTGAAATATCTTTTACCACGTCAGCAGTCAATCTTCTTTCATATGGGCATTACCTACTTTATATTCTAAAATCTGGAATTCCATCCCGCAACTTGATATGACCGACTTAACAGTTGATTGTAAAGAACACAAACCGATTTACAATTAGCGATTTAAAAACAATGACCCAATTCACTTCTTTAAATGGCATTCATCAAAGTTAATTGCGTGGGGTTGTGATGACGAACCCCTTTTTTTCACGGATATTCAAAGTAAAATGCAAATGGAAAAAAAACATCACGGAAAGCTTCCCTGGTTAATTGTCTTCTTCCAACGGAGCGCGCCAATCTGGGAAAACAAGAGCGCGACTCAGCCAAACTCTCCACGTCCACTACTGGAACAAGGTGATACAGTCATTACCCCGCTGAGACAACATCACTCAATCCATGTCCTCCCAAAGAACAAAACGTCCTACGAGTTGCTTTGATATGTGACAGCTGGAAGTTCCGTCTCACGTGTTACCTGACAAGGACGTTTGTGAAGAGTCTGATCCTCCACACCGTCGAAGTCTGCCCTACTGAAGTGAGAAGAGCTGCAAGGACAGAATATTTTGAAGTACAGAATGCCTAGCACAGTAGTTCGTAAAGACTGCCCTCCCTCTGCTGATCTCAATCGTCGTCCTTTTTATCAAGAATGAGGAATCTTATTAAGCATGATTTATAATTGAAATGTTCGAATCACGTCCACCACGTTGTTGATAGCAGGAGCCACAACGACTGGAACGAGACTTGAAGCCACTCACCTTATCCTCTGACAGCAAAATTCGTGAATAAAAATGTGAGCCGTATACTTCATTTGGTAGCACCTCAAAGCAGACTTAGAGGGTCAAAAGGGGTCAGGAAACCAGACAAACCATGGTTCGTCGATTCGGCACCATTAAAAAATATCACTGTCGCCAACTGTCAAAACAGTCAAATCCGACTATCCAAATCTCCCATTTTGGAGAAGCAGAAATGGACCGATTCAGCGTCCAGCAGCACAGGACTCCCTAATCATTCGCCACCTCAAAACGATTGTTCTATGAAGAGGCGTCCCGAGTGGGTCCGGAGAGGTAATATGAGTGTGGCTATTTCAACAGCGTCGCAATAACAGAAACGAAATTTGTGTGCGTGTTCCGTAAGTGATCAATTCTGTGGGTGGTTGGTTAGTTGAATGCGTAGGAGAGAAAGAGAGACAGATAGACATCTGTTGATACAAGTAGAGATAGAGGGAGAAGAGTGAGGCTTGGCAATGTACAAATAACGCAAAAGGAGACGCAAAACAAAGCATAAGGTAACGCGTCGTCATCGTGACAGCAATTGCATGGATGGTTTGGTTCACTTCAGAGGGACAGCATAGACATAAAACAAACAAACGAACCAACAAACGCAGACTAAATGTAAGTAGTATGCGTGCAGGGAGAGGCGATAATTCAGACAAGAGGAAAGAAAAGGGAAGGAATAGGGATGGAGAGAATGCATCTTGTTGGTCAATTCAGAGCAGACGGCTAGGAGTGTCGGGGACGTTTTCGCGACGAGGAGGAGTTGGAGTTGGAGGAGGCGTTAGAATTGCAGGCTCCAGGAGCGGGACAGCGCAGAGGTAATTGTTGGCAGGCAATGGTCCGAAAACACTCGTTCAAGAGATGCGGCCGATGACGCACCAGTCGTTCATAGCCCTCCGTTTCGCACACCTCTTGTGCGTGCCTACGTATGTCCATAGGGAGGCGGAGAAAAGAAGCATCAAAATATAAGGAAAAGTAACAAATTAAATAAGTGACTTCTCAAACTTTGGTTGGTGGAAGGTTGCAGGACCAAGGCCTTTTAATACGAGTTAGCATACTTAAATGTCAGAACAATGACAACGTGGGAGGTAGATCTCTTCCATTCCCTTTCGCGTTAGAAAATATGAAGGCCAAATAACGCTTTTAAGTGCATTCTTCGAACTCTCAGATAGGCGGGGTTGAAACACTGAAGGGTTAATAGCACACCGACTACAGTTGATGTGGTCCGACGGAGAGAAAGAGGAGGGAGGAGATTGTCCCCAAGGGCGTCGATATTATCATACAAACGGAGATACTTAATTGTTCACTTCTACCCAAACAACACTCAGGCAAGGGAATTAGTGATTGCAAACAAGACATTTACGAGTACATAAGGAATTGCCAAGAAAAGACGCAAATTGATGCAGATGAGAGAACAGTTTGAATTAAAATGCAGGAAGCATGTGGCATTGAGAGTAAAAAGGAGAGAAATTGATGACGGCAAAAGGAAACTTTCTCAAAGGAACGCTAATCACCGCATATTTACAATGACTTTAAAATTTATCTTACTGCCTTTTGTAAAAAAGTGTCCCAAATGCGTGCTATAGGGGATCAGGTTACAGCATCTGTCAGCTTCATTTCCTGCTTGTCTGCTTCATATGAGCGTGTGTCGGTGTCTAAGGCTAAGGATGTGGTAGTCGCCGAACGAGGATAAAGGATAGGCTAAAGCAGTCCTCCTTCTCACACTACCTCTATCCTCCAACCAAACCACAAGTGTTTCATTGTAAACGTAAGTGTCAAAAGACCGCCTTCTGCATCCCACTTCCTACCTGACAAGCAAGATCTGTGACATCAGCATCACAAAGAGCAGCAGTAACACAGAACAACAGAACAGCTTGCCTTACCAGCACCGAAAGTAAGCTTCTGCAATAAATAATGAATGTCACCTTTCAGCAAGGCATCCATCAAGTCGATTAGATTGAAGAACATCGTGCCAAGGATGCAACTTAAAAAAAACAACGGTTTTCAACCTCTCATCCGCGACAAAAGATGACGTCTACAAGTCGTGGCGGAGCATCAATGAAAGCAAGAACGAAGTTAAGGATAAGGAATGGCCGCTATTTGTAGAAACACCTTGATCGAAGAATAAGTGCTTCAGCATTCAACTCCCTCTTATGAAGTGCATTACATTAGGTGGATCACAAAACTCTTCATTCTTTCTGGTTCAACAGAAGCAGAGTGGATAACGAGATCGGCAATGTGAAGGATTGGCGAACGCACCAGTAAACATGTAAGTTAATGTAGCGTCCCTTTGGTGCATAGAGTGGAGATGAGAGGTGAAACTGAGCTGCGATTGAGACTGCCGATAATATGCAGATGAACAGATATGAAGCTAAAAAATTAATTAAGAAGCTCAAAGATGATTTCGCCGCGAAAGAGGCAGCAACGGATTAACAAATCCACTGTAAGTAAACGCTGAAGGCTCGTGGTAAAACCCGATTCCTGTATAGGCTTACAACACCATTGGGATGTCCTCAGGTTAACTTTGCTATTCAAAGGCAAAAGAAAACATCTGTACGTGCGAAATAAAGATGTTCAGGACGGGATAAGGACTCACAGCATGATGAAATCGAGGGTGTGTGCCTTCAGCTGCTCTGCGCTGTGAATATCGGCGAGACTGAGGATGTCGCAGGCCGCCTCTACAGTGAGGTGTTCCACCAACTCCTCTTCACACATGGCCTTCAGCCGTTCCAGCTGGTACTGCAAGGATGAAGGGGCAAAGAATGGGGTTGTAGCCCTTGAACTGCAGCTGCCAATGCGGTATGATTTGTTTTTATGATATAAAAAGACATTAAAATCGTTCTCTGTGACGA